CGACCCGCGCCACCAACTCGGGCGCCCACTCTGAACTGACCTCCTTGAAATCATATTCAGCCATATTGGCGTAGAGAGCGAGCTGACTTTCGGGGAAGAAATTGAGCTCTTGGCGGCAGCAGACGGCGGCCCGCCGTTCCACGCTCCACGACCGCGCTCGTGTGCACGGACAGCAGGCTTGGGTCCCGCCGCTTTGCCACACATCTTGCAATTCCCACGCCAATAACACTTGTAACTTTAGGAGCATCGCTTGTCGCTGCACTGCCAACACGAGAAGTCTCCCATCGCTGATTGGGAGCAAGACTCCGGCGGGCAGCACGATCAGAAAATGTAGAAGTACTGGTGTGCAAATTGATACGGTGGACACCGCTGCACGTGACACAGACAGATGGGGCCGCAATTCCCCTCGCCAGAAACTCGCGTCTTTGTGCCGAACAGCTACGGATTTTTGGGGCCACAACATGTCTCAATTGCGCGGCAAAACCGAACGATCAAAAAATCCGCCAAACAGACTGGGAACCCCACAAGAACTGACCTGCAATAGGCAATCTGATGTGGTGAACATTAGCCTGAAAGAGAAAGCAGCCGTGCTACGAGTTCAATGGTGCACAAGACCGTGACGAGGATGAGGCCGACGAGGAAGGAAACGGTAATCTGGTCGCACGCCATTACGCGTGTATCGACCCCGCTGGGCAGAGTCCCCCGTGTCGGGCAAAATGCTGTCGTGGGGGCGGGATACCGCCGGAGCAAACAAAAGCGGGCAAACTACACCGAAGAAGAAGAAGAAGGAAACAAAAAAAAAAAAAAAAAACGGTGGAGGAGGAGGAGGAGGGAGCGGATATCCAAGATGGTTGAACCCATGGCGCATGGGGTGGTGCACAAAGTTCTGCCAAGGTCCCTAAGCCGAGACCATGATTGACCACGAATCTATGGAGCAAGGGAGCGGCGACGAATGAGCGGAAAGCTCCAGCATTCAAGTTTTTTACACACACACACACACACACACACACACACACACACACACACGGGGGGGGAAACAAAAAAACAAAAAAAACGTGGCGGGCCGCGGAAGGCACGCGCCTCAGACCTCACCGCGCGACCAGCGCGGACGGGGCGGCGCCAGAGCTCTGGCGCGGCAGCCGCCCCTGGAGGCCGAGCGCCTCGCCCCGCCACCACGAGGAGGGGAGGAAGGAGGAGAGGAGGGCGAAAGGAGGAAGAGAGGGAGGGGAGGACGAACGCTCGCGACGACCGTCGCTTTCGACCACTCGCCGCCCTCCAAGCGGACGGCACTGCGATTGAAACGCTGGGGGCGGGGAGGGAGGAGGAGAGGAGGGCGAAAGGCGGCGAAAGGAGGAAAAGGAGGGGAGGAGGAGCGCTCGCGACAACCGTCGCTTTCGATCACTCGCCGCCCTCCAGGCGGACGGCACTGCGATTGAAACGACGGGGGAGGGGAGGGAGGAGGACAGGAGGGCGAAAAGAGGGGGGAGAAAGGAAAGGGACGAGGAGGGGAAGAAACTGGCCAGGAAAATGTGGCCCCTCTGGCCGGCCTGGAGAAGTACCCTACGAGCGCAGACCGCCTGCCTCCATGGACGCCTCCATGGACGCCTGGGCGAGCGACATGTCTGCCAGAATCCGCGCCGCCATGCGGAACGCGAGGCCGCGGCGAGCAGTCCTCTTCCTGCCGCGGAGCAGAAGCTCCTCCGCATCCGCATCGAGGATGTTCATAGCCTGCGCCAAGAAGCTTGAGCGGCTGAGCGCTTCCTTCGCGGCCTCGGAGGCCTCCGCCGCAGCGTCCGACGCCTGGATTGTCTTCGGAGCCAGGGAAGAACAATTTTCCCAGATGCAGCTGCGGCGCTGCTCCGCGCTGAGGTTCGCGAAATGCTGCTTGAGCAACTCGCGCTCCTGCGTCTTGTCAGCCGCCGCCGGATCCTCGACAGGCTGGGTCGCCTCCTCCACCTCCGCTGGCGCAGCCTCCTGGCATGGACGACCTGGCAAAGGCGCCGATTGATAGCAAAGAGCATCTGCATGTCCCCCGTGCCTGACGGATTCAGTCCTGGAGTCAGCCTCGGACTCGGCGCTGTCCTCATCCTCAGCGCTGATGCCCATGTCGCCCTCGATGACGGTCACGGCCAGGCTCCCGATATCCCCGACGGGGCCCTTCTCATCCTCCCCCTTGTGCTCATCGTCGTCGTCGTCCTCCCCCTTCTCCTTGGAATTGCTCTTGGGCTCATCTCCGTCTTCTTCCGTGTGGCTCGCCTCCTCCCAGGCAGTGAGATCGGAGACATCGGCAGTAGAGTCGGCAACGGAGTCGATGATCTCTGTCTCCTTGGGCGCTTCGGCTGCGTCGGGGAAGTACTCCTTTTCATATTCCAGCTCGTCGCCACAGGCGATGTTGTGCTCGTCCACAGCCGCCGTCTGACGCCGCCGTCAGATGGCGCTCTGCTCCTCGGACTGCGCCTTGAGGTTCTGGATCAAGGCGTCCAGGCGGCTAAAGTGATCGAAATCGCTCAGGAAGAGAAGTGTCTCAATCCGCTCCAAGCGCCAAGCAAAGTCGCCGAGGCCGAACCCGGGTCCGTGCTACGACGGCCCGAAGCCTAGCGGGGGCGGCAGCACGCCAGGCGGCCAGCCGACGACGATCGCAGAGCCGTCGCTGCCGTCGCCGGCGCGACGCCGGAGTCTCAGTCTCCAGCAGCGCTGCGCTCGGGGGCCCTGCGGCGACTGCAGCACCCGCAACGCCAGCCCACGGAGAGGCGGCATCCGTAGTGCCAGCGACGCCTGCAGCGACCGCCATCGCAGCCGTCTGGCGCGGTGAAAGGTGAGAGCGGTCAAAGAGTGTGTGTGAGAGAGAAAGGAAGTGGCTCAAGTCAAGGAGTGGCTTGAACCAGAATGGCTTGAGCCAAAATGGCTACGGAGTCCTCCTCCTCCTCCTCCTCCTCCTCCTCCTCCTCCTCCTCCTCCTCCTCCTCCTCCTGCTCCGCTCCTCCCTCCTCCTCCTCCTCCTCCTCCTGCTCCTCCTCCTCCTCCTCGCTCCTCGTCCTGCTCCTCCTCCTGCTCCTCCTGCTCGTCCTGCTCGTCCTGCTCCTCCTGCTTTTTGCCCCTCCTGCCCCTCCTGCTAATCCTGCTCCCTCCTGCTCCATCCTGTTCCTTCCTGCTCCCTCCTCCCTCCTCCCTCCTCCCTCCTCCCTCCTCCCTCCATTACTTTTTCAAGATTAACTACTTCTCGCTGTCGCACCCCGAGGCCAATGTTTTTGGCGGGCCAGGCGTTTCGCCTGAGACTTTCTCACCATGTATGATCCTGACGCTTAGAAATTGGCACCAGCTTCACAGATGGAGGGCGGGTCGTTTTCGAAATGTGGCTCTCGCCTCCATGTTCAAAATGTGGCTCTCGCTTTCGCGCCGCGCACATTCGTTTGAATTTTGCAAGAGACTCGCTGATTGAAGGCGGCCCGTTTTCAAAAAAAATATGGCTCTCGCCTGAGCGCCGCGTAAATTCGTTTCGAAATTTGTAGGAGCTTCACGGATTGAGAGCGGCTCCTTTTCAAAATGTGGCTCTCGCCTTAGCGACGCGCATATTCGTTGTTTCGTTTGAGAAATTCAAGAGTTTCACCGAGTCCCATGATCAGCGAACCAGAAATGATGTTGTGGAAGGACTCCGGATTATGAAGGTGCAACAGTTACGTTGATTCGCGGCGCTGAAGAGCCAGGAATGGCGTTCTGACACGACTCAAGAACGTCACGACGCAACAGTCAGGTTGATCCGTGGCGTTGGAATCCCGAAAACAATGTTTTGGCATGCTTCAGGGGCTTCGAATGGTTCTTACCACGAGGCAATTCCCTCAGTGGGAATGAACCGTTGCAGGGGCCTATGAAGAGGAAGCTTGGAGGGAGGCTTCATTACATTATCGTTGATGATTCTTGGGTTTGCACTGGTCCTCCTCCTCCTCCTCATCTTCATCCGTTTTCCTCCCTCTCCTCATCCTCCTCTTCCTCCCCCACGTATTCTCCGAAGGGGTTCCACAACGGTTGGGGGAACACATGATCCAATCGCTTAACCAAACTTTGCCCAAACGTTTGGCCACACAGGCGTACCATAAAAGGCAGGGGGCGGCAGTGATTCGCCGTAGGCGTCTTCGATAGATCCGCCACCCCTTGTGTTTATCACAGGGGTGTCTGGCAAGCTAGATGCTCTACTGCTTTGAACCTTTTTCCAAAATCTTCCCAATAGCTTTCGGCCAATGCAGTCGGCAACACTGAAGGCAACATAAAAGAGGACAGACAAAGAACTCGATCCATCGAGGACGAGGCCTGACTTGGGCCCAAATTCCGCCTGCGGGGCGGCAACAATTTTACTTCCGCCACCTTCGGCCCGCCTCCAGTCACCACCTTCCCCTGAGATCCGCAACATCGTGAAAAATGACAACCAAAGCCCTAGACCCCATCTGTCTGCGGCACTTCTCGAGCCGGATATGAAGCCCGACATCTCCTAGATCCCAGGGTTCCCCCCGTCTAGCTTTCGGGTCGTAACCCTGTTCTACGGCTGAGATTCGAAACGATTCGGGCACCCGTGGAACGCTCTCGGCGAGGCGCAGATGCCAGAAAGCATCACATCTCTGAAAGCCTCCAGGAACCGACGAAAACCCTGAAAATCTCCAACCTCGAACCCAGACGCCCGCAGAGGCACTTCAGTAGGAGGGAGGTCTCGCCACTAGGAGGAGGGGCTGTAGGATAACTGTCCTGCAAAGTGTAGGGAGGGAGCTGAGTGTAGGAGACAGGGGAAGGGGGCGCAAGATGAAGAAAAGCGGGGGGTGTAGGACGGGCTGGGCGAATGGCCGGAGGTGACAGGCAGCTGAAGCATCGCCCCCCCCAGGTCCACCGAGGAAAGGACGCCAACCCCCTCGACCCCTCGATCGAGGGGCGAGGCCCTTCCCGGAGACGGCGCCTCGCGGTCCCACCGGCCACCCTCCCCGGGCCGCCAATCTCCGCCGCGCGCCGCGGGGCGCCTCTGCCTCCGGGCGCCTCGGGCGCCGAGGGCGGCGGCGCAGGCGACGCCCTGCCCTGCCCGAGTCTGGGAGAAGGACTGCGAGGCATGGAGACGTTTCGAAGCACCCAACGCGGGCGATGAGCAATGGCGCCATGGCAATGCTGAAGGTATCCACGTCAACGCGTAAGGTACCCACGGTGGCGATGCCCTGCCCCGATCTTGCAGAGAGAAACAAAAAACACCCACTCACCCACCCCCCAAAAAAACGCGCATAAACCTCTGGAGGTCCGCGCGGGCTTCGTGGATCGGCGCGGGGCAACGTGCGCCAGGACAGGGGCCCTAGCGCTGGACCAGGCTGGCCCAGATTTCGTGGGTCGCGGTGGACCTGGCGACGCCATGTCCTGCCCAGGTCTGGAAGGAGAACGGACTGCGCATTGCGGACCCCCTTTGCGCGGTGCGGCCCTAGCGGGGGCAGGGGAGCGCCCACCTTCCTAATTCACCTCCCCCATCCTCCTTCTGCAACCACTTTCTTGATCCACCTCCTCCATCCTTCTTCTGGGATCGACGGAGGAGAAAACAGCATAAAGGTCCGCGCGAACTTCTTCGATTGGGGATTTCCCCCCCCTCCCCGCCTTGGCGCGCGGGGCACGCAGCACCAGGGAAGGGGGCCCCAGCGCTGACATGGCTGACCCAAATTTCGTGGCAGGGGGGACTGGATCAGGGGGGAACATCAAGCTTTGAATCGGCGATACATCGCCGATAGATCGGCGATTGACCCCCGATTGTGAAGGGAGGGTGGGCTATCAGGCACATATCGGCGATCCACGGGCGATTGGGTGTCGATGCATCCCCCCTCTGAGCCTATCCCCCACTAACGTTGCCCCTGGCCAGAAGGGCTGCCAGGAGGCCACAGACGTCGCCCACAGCTCGCAGGGCAGCTCTCCACACGAGAGGAAACCGAACCCCTCCTCTGAACCCAAACATCCAAGCGTATTGACAACATCACGACGGAAAGTGTTTGACAATCTTCGCTTTTCGCGGGCCCTCACTGAACACAAAGACGGCAAACAAAATCAGCTCGGGATCAAAAATCGGTCCCAGGAAGGGGTCCAGAATCCAGACCTCTAGGGCTGCACAATCAATCGATCAATGACGCCGTGTCTGCACGACACATCGGCTAAACCAGTGCCGCTGGCCGGAGGCGTGTGTCCGCCATGGCACAAGGCAAGGGCAGTTCACAATCTGATGGCCCAGCGCTTGCCTGGTGGAAGAAACTGGCTGCCATGGCTTATGCTGGGAAGGGGGAGGAGGAGGAGGAGGAGGAGGAGGAGGAGGAGGAGGAGGAGGATGCGGATGAAGATGAGGAGGAGGAGGAGGAGGATGGACCAACTCCCTTCCTTCAGGGTATATCAGAGCCTGCTGGTCTTGATACATTATATGATAGCGTGGCGCCAGGCCACTGACCTCCAGCAGCGTGGGTTAGAATTCTCTCGTGAAAGAAACATCGCTAGCTCGCTCTCTGGCGCGGCGGGAGCAGGGGCACGGAGGGGAGGGGCGGGAAGGGACGACGTGGCACGAGGGGGACGAGGACGGAGGATGCCCCTGATCGCCGAGAGCGCTTGCGCTCTGACCACCGAACCCCAGTTCAATCGAGGCCGGTCTCTCCCCCTCGGACCACGCAAGTCGGCTGGCTCGACTGCGTATTTTTTGGATTTTGAGCTCAACAACTCTCCTCCACCAAATGCATGAAGTCTGACGGCGGCGGGGGACATCAGCATGCCAATGTGAAATTAATCCGAGTCGCCAGATGGCTCGCACGCCAGTACGCTGGGCGCAAGCCGAGGCATGCCCGTTATATTAGACAGGACGGCAGGCGACTGGAAGCAGGTGTCGCTCAGCTGCCTGCTGCCGCTCTCGCCAGAAACATGGCGAAAGGACGGGCAGTACCGCTGAGCGTCAGTGACTGACGCAGAAGAGGGGCCAGCACGCAAGCCCGCAGCCACGCTCTCCAGGGCACTCTCGGCCCCAAGAGGGAGCACGGCCTGAATCCACGAGGGCGGGGGGGAGGAAGCGACGGCCAAAACTGACAGAGAGTCGCCAAACAGATGCCGCGAAGCCTCTTCTTCGGCAATGAGAGATCGAGGGCGAGCTCGGCGCCACTCTCACCTCTCCTGTCTGGTGGTGGCACCGAGCTCTTGGCCACTGAGGCCGAAGGCCCAGCAAACAGATGCCGAGCAGCCTCTTCCTCCGCGTCGAAAGGATCGAGGGCGAGCACGGTGCCACTCTCACCTCTCACATCGGGTGGTGGCGCCGAGCTCTTGGCCGCTGAGGCCTTTGGCTCAGCGATACGAGTCTCTTCAATGCAAGTCTGGCCTGACTCGCCGCTCGCCGCAGCGGAGTTCGGTATCTCGTCACAGCCAAGGACGGGGGCCACAAGACGGACAGGCGCAGCAGGCCTGGCACTGCTGCAGATAGCAGCAGCATCTAGGTGCGCACTGACAACATAATTGAAGCACGGCATGAGATGACCAGTGTGGACTCGAACTCCGCTCTTGCTGCACTGGGGGCGGCAGCCTTTGTTACACAGTTGATTCCAGCCCGAACGCCTGGACCTCGAGGGGCCTAAACAACGCTCTCCGAAGCCACGAACACTAGCACCTGATGAATAACAAAGGCATTTGCCGCATATGAGCAGCACCGAAAAGTCGTCACAATCAAAGGCACTGACACTGTGATTGAGCGCATACAGCCTGGAAGCGTGAAGCTTGCTGAAATTGGAACAGCGGCTGGGATCAGGGCAAGCGGCCGACCGCTTCCTTTTTAAGACAGACCTCACAACGCCAGGGCCCCGCCCACTGACGCCACCTGCGCCTGGGGCCAGGCGGGGCAGGAGGGGCCTTCAAAAGCTCAACGTTGGACAGTTCCAAGGGTTCCCAGAGAGGTGCCAGCCTGGCAGCTAGCCTGAGCGTGCAGCGGGCGGCGCGTACCATTCTGTCGATGGAGACTAAACATCCTCATCACGCGGACGCAGATTGAAAGCATGCTTCGCGCCGACATCCGCATGACGATGTCCCACCCGCCTCCACCTCCCCCGGCCATCAATGCCGACCTCGTCGACATCCCTGCGAGCAGCAACCTTCTCACGCGGAAGGAGGAAGGAGGAGGGGGGGAGGAGGAGGAGTAACACTCGAGAAAGGCACCAGCGCACACACGCTTGCCAGAAAAATGTAATGAGCGAGGCTTATTGGCTAACTTCACCACATTGGAGCAGTTTGAAAAAGCCTGGGAGTGACCAGGAAGGCATAACACGTGGGCCCAAGTGTAAACCGAAAACTCCGATCCCTGCGGGGTCTGGGGATACGGGGCCCACGCGGGAGCAAGGAATTCCGCCGCGAGAAACCTGCATCATCCACCATAGCAATACAAGGGCCTGCTCGGCTGAGCTCACGGATGGGACATCTGCAGCACGGCCCATCAATAAACTGCGAGCCCCAAAGCGTGGTGGGAGCACAAAAACGCATGGGCGAGACCTGATCACGCTCATGCCACACAACGATAGGACCGTCAGAATGTTCCGTAGAAGGACCAGGGTACGAGTCGGCGGGATGAGCAAAAGCTCCTAAGGTAAAAACAAGGACGTCTTCACCCAACCCTTTAGTCCTGAAGGCCAACGCAACGCCCTCCCCCCTCACCCCGTCCTTCCTAACAGCAGTGACCGAGCTGCGGGAACAAGACTAGAGCTGTGAAATAAAGTGCCAGGCTTGCCGCGCAAGGGGCAGGCGATGTCAACCTGGCATCCCAAATTGAGAGCACGCCCCCGAGTGGGAAAGGCCTCGGTGGCAAGGGCGCGGATCCTACTCGTTTCAAGAGGGGTGAACGTTTAACTGGCAAGAGACTCCCTCACGCTATCGAAACATAACCTATGTTTGAGACGTGTCTTGGCAGCCGCGCCCCTCTCTCTCTATCTCTCGAAATAGAGAGAGAGAGAGAGAGAGAGAGAGAGAACAAAAAAACAAAAACAAAAACAAAAAAAAAAAAAAAAAAGAAAAAAGAGAAGAAGAGAGAGAGAGAGAGAAAAAAAAAAAAAAAAAAAAAAAAAAAAAAAAAAAAAAAAAGAGAGAGAGAGAGAGAGAGAGAGAGAGAGCGAGAAGAGAGAGAGAGAGAGAGGGAGAGGAAGAGAAAGAGAAAGAGAAAGAGAAAGAGAAAGAGAAAGAGAAAGAGAAAGAGAAAGCGAACGAGAAACAGAAAGAGGAAGAGAAAAAGAGAGAGAGAGAGAGAGAGAGAGAAAACCGAAAAAAAAACGGATATGGGCGTCGCGACAAAGCTTCTTGATTAAACAGGGAGACATAATGCCCAGGTGAATAGAGAGACCCCGATCGTCTTCAACCGCCGTAAAATCAATCATGGCCCAACCAAGCCTGGAGACAGACACGCGCGAAGCATGGATCCGTAGCTCACGCCAGCCAGAGGGCCAGCTGAGGTAAGAAGGAATGATAGCACTTCTCTTGGGCACCTTCTTATGCCTGCGAAGCCGAATGGCCTTCCTGCTGGCAGCCGCGATCCTGGCCTTGAGCTTGGCCGCGCGGCCTTGGACTCTGAGGGCGCAACCAGCCGCGCAGTCGACGCCAAAGTTCAAAGCCGTAGAGGAACTAACAGAACACAGACCAGAAAGAAGGGCCGAAACTTGATCTCCAACATGCTTCGATGAAGCAACGATGGTAGTCTTGTCCATCGCGAAACTGCAGCCTAAGACATCCTCCACAATAGGAGTGAAAACGGCGAGAGCCAGGGACGACGTTGGAGATCACAGCGTTGGCAGCACCTGCGGCCGCGAGACCTTGATCGTCAATGCACACATCTGAATCGAGGTTGGGCTGGGGAACTAACCCATCATAACCTTCCATCCCGCGCACTCGATAAGGGCGGCGGCAAAAGAACACCCAGCGATTAGCCCCCCTATTCAAATAGTAAGGGCCCTGGGTAACTCCCCCCCGACAGGGAAATCGACCACGCCAGAGGCGGGTCAGCACAGGCGGGAAGCCATGCCGATAGCAACGAGCTTCCAGCTCGACAAGGCTGATCGTCTCGTAAAACTTGCGAAGGTCAATAAGACTGGCACAGGAGCTCTGTCCTTCGGCAGCGCCGCCTTCAACTTTGACAGCTTGACGCCAGACAACGTCGGCAGCCCCCCGTTGCTGACCAGCAGCACAATACCTCCCGGGGCGTTGCTGTTCCCAGGCCAGGGCGATGGGGGCGTCTGAGACGCCCCCGAACCCTGCACCAGGAACAGAACGCCCCAATCGGTCTGTAGCCGCCACTCGGCTGACAGCAAAGTCAACAACGAGACAGAGATCTGAGGAGGAAGAACACCGAAAGCTTCCATGAGCGAGAGGAGCATGCTGAAACACGCGAGAGACTGGTCGTCCAACAGATGAAAGTGGCGAGAGGGGAAGCCGACAGAAGAAACAGCAGGGTCCTGTTTGGAATTTCTTGGAGGCCGACCTGGTGTCTTCAACGGAGATTAAGGGCAGGGGCTCAATAAGCGAGCTGGGGGGCGAGCCCCTCCCCCCCTATCCCACAACGAGACAAAGCGATCACCTTCAGCCTTGATCAGCGACAAGGGATCTGACACCGTGCAGCCCTTGGCAGAAAGGGTGGACGTCGGAGTCCACGGGGGCGGGCCCCGAATAATATGGTGCACACGTTTGGAACCATAACCGATGCCAACATGCATGCAGGCCGACCAGTCATCTCTCGACTTCTGACCGAAGGATCTGGCGGCCGCGTCGAGCTCGCTCCTGATCTCAGCCCCAAAGGCTTCTAGGTCTGAGCAGGAGAGCGACTGAGCCGAGGCACGGACGAGCTCGGCAGCACGTTCAAAAATACAAGCTCGAGCGCCAGCATGATTGGGCACGCGCCAAGGCGGCGCTGCAAGTAAGTTGCCCAGCGCCAGCAACTGGGAGTCACGACCAAGGCACCTGGAGAGCACATATGCACGTCACTGCGCAGCAAGCCACTTGATGGAACGAAACTCCGGGTACTTGGCGCGGCCTTCACCTGACAGAATCGAACGCCATGCGAGCTGAGGACCCAGACCTCTAGTGCCCAGTTTCGTGATTTCGGCCCCCAAAATCGGAGGCGAGTCATTCTCGGCACGATTAACCCGCGCTTGGCACAGAGGCCCCAAGAGCTCAAGAGCTCCTTGATAATCCCCCTTCTTCACCCTACCGAGAGCTGTTCCAGCCGCGCCCAGCTCGCCGGCCCACGAGGCCAAAGCAGGACAAGGGCCACGCGCAGGTTCGACAGGGACAGGGGGGGGGCCCGAAGCATGAGGGCCTGAAGAATCGAGAGCGAAGGAAAGAAGAGAAGACAGACAGGACGATGGGCGACAAAGAAGTGGACCAATTGACCTCGCACGAGCGAACACCTTTCGCAAGACCTCCAGAGCACACGAAAAAATCGAAGGCGCTGGCCGTACCAAACGGAAAATGAGTGCACGTCGGAGGGGGCACCACAGCACCACGCAGCTCGCCGGCAAAACGCGAATCCCCCAGGAGCGGTGGCTCGAAGTTGTGGTCAGCCCCTGCGACAAACGGCACGGCACTCTGCGACAATAAAAGGCAGAACTTCGAAAGACTGGTGCGATTGCGGTCTGAAATCTCCGGAGTGGAAGAGATAGGACGACGCCGCGACAATAGGAGGGCAAGCAGGGAGATGACTGCGGCCAGCAAGACAACGACTTGGCACCACCTCACCTGCTTCCATGTTCTGCAAACCCAACCAATAGCGAGCGAGAATGGCCACCCCAGCTGAAGTGTCTCCAGCTTCAGTGGCCGCAGCATCACACCATAAGGATTCCCAGCCTCTCTTGAGGCACCATGCGTTGGCGGCGACCACGTCCGCGCCTCTCAGGCGACGTTCCTGGCACAGGGTGACATGAGCATGAGTGCAACCTTCAAGCAGATCTTTCATGACCCCCCAGGAGTTACAATCGACAGTCCTTATGTCCAACTCGATCTTGTTAGGATCAGGTGTCGGCCCCTGGCCACAATCATTTTGAAACACGGACGCGTCGCCGCCAGAGCCTAGGGCATCCACGATGCCAGGCACGGCGTTCTGAGACTAGTTAAACTGCGATCCTACGAAAGGTGGGGACGGGGAAGCCCTCTCTTCCAAGAGAGAGCTGAACCTGGCGCTCGGGTCTGGCAAGGGCAGCGCCACGCACGAGACCGAGTGATGGCCGACGCTGCCATGCCTCTCTCCAAGCGTCAGAACAGGATACAACTTGGCAGGCCTGGCAAAATCGAGCGGCGCATTAGAGAACATCCGACGGAATAATCTGGCGTGAGCAGGGGTGCGAAGCATAGCGTCAGCGCGGGCAATGAGAGAGGACCATCGAAGCGTGGGTGGCAAAGCTGCGGCATGCACACCTGGACGCTTCAAAAACCTCGGGGCGCCACGACGACTCCAGAGCTGGATCTGAGCCTGTGACGGAGGCCCAAAAAAGATGTCATCGGCAGAAAAGTAAATAGAAATCACCCCTGGAAGAATTACTCTGAATCCAGGACCAGGAACCAAACCGAGAAGAGCCTGGAGAAGACCAGTCGCTCAGAGGCTTCCAGGGGGGAATCGCGAGCCAGGACCGCCTGATGCGATCCTGGCAGCGCGCTCTCGAACGCCGGCATGGGCCCCAGGTGGGGGCGCCGCGGGCGCCTGACCATCAGCTCCTGAGCCGGCCCCAGCAGCAGCAGCTGCGGCGCCCGCAGGCCCCCCTGCTCCAGCAGCAGGTTCAGAAAGCCCATCATGTCGAGGGCGCTTCGCCTGCAGCCGCTCGAGGTGCGCCTCGCGTTACTGCCTGAGAGCGTCGACCTTGCAGTCGGCGTCGCGGAGCAGACTGCCCGCCAGGCCTGAGATCTGAGATACACTCGCGGAGATGCGCAGCACGCGCCTCTAACTCCTTCTGGTCATCAGGCTTGAGCTCGCAGTCAGTCTCGTCGATATTGAGGATGCCCGCCGCCGAAAGGTCCAGCAACCGCTCGAGCTTGGAGAGATCCAGGACGTCGTCAACACTGAGCTTCGACGGCGGCACATCAGGCTCAGACTGAGCTGCAAGCTGAGCGTGGAGCTGCCGAACGAGGTCGCTGTGCCCCTTCTCGGACTGCTGCAGCTCCTCGCGAAGGCAGGTGACATGTCGGCGCTGAGCATCGACCTGTTGCTCCATGGTCTCGAGCTCGAGGGCTGCCCCTTCGAGCTTGTTCTCAACCTGCAGAGCCCTGGCGCGCGCCTGCTGGCCGCGCGCCCCCAAGCTGGCTGGCCGAGGCGCCTGAGGGCCTGGGCCGCCATGCGATATGAATGCGCAGTCTTGGCGTCAACAATTGTGTCGTAGAGTGAAGCCATCTGCTGGCGCTCTTCGACAGCGAGCTCGACGGGCGCCAATGCTGGAGAGGGAGCGCCGACGCCAGCACCGCCTGAGACCCCCGCACCACCATGACTGCCGCCGAAACCTCCGCCAGGAGGCGAGCCCCCCATGAAGCGCCCAGGTGGTCCGTGGCGGGCGTGCTTGGCCAGAGCACGCCACGCGCTGTCTGGGGCCCGCGGACGAGAGGCACCGCAATGCTTCCACCACGTGAGCCAGCTGGCATTGCCTCGGCAACCACAAGCGCCACAGAACCAGCGTTGGCCAGCGGCGGCGGCGACAGCAGGAGGCACTGGCGACTGCTGTAGACCAGGAACGAGAGGAGGCCAAGCATTCCGAGAGATCGAAGCCGTGCCCCCGCCGCCCTGAACCCATGGCGCATAGTAAATGCCTTGGCGGCAGCCGCCTTTGCCCCCGTGGGACTTGCCGCCACCGCCTTGACCTTTGCCCATGCCGCCGCGAGCGCCGCGATGAACGGCTGCTATGAGCACGGCAAATCGTGAAAGAGGATAGCAAAAGCGAGCCACCTTGGCCCGCAACAACAACGCGCCGCTCTGAATCGGCGCTGTTGCATGCCCAAAAGCTTGGGCCAGAACGGCTGCTCGACTGCACAAGTTTTAAAGACTGCGGAAAATCACCACGTCGGAGCCCTGGAGGAACGATGGCTGAGGGCCCAAGGTTGGGAACGCCGGCAGGCCGGTCAATGGAAATCCCGCCGCGCCCTGATCTGAGCCTCGGCCTCCCGAGCTGGCAGTGGATGCTCCTGACCCGTTGCCTGTTCAACCCTTTGACCTCGCATCAGGCTAATGCTTATGCTCATGCCGCCGCACCCTGCCCTCGAACTGTCCCATTTCTCCCAGAAATCATGTGGCGTTGGGTCCTCGTTTTGAAGAGACAGCGCCCCGCGCTTCCACTCCGCCCCCCGCCCCCCCCCCCCCCGCCCCTCCCACCCCTCGCGCCCCTCGCGCGCTTCATGGCCCCATAGGGGGCCCCACCGAAGGCCGCAGTGGCAGGGTTTGGCATGCGGTTCCACCACCCATTACGGAATGCCCCTCTCGCGCTTCGCGGCCCCACAGGGGGCCACAGAAGGCTCCAGCGGTAGGGTTCGCATGCGGTTCCACCCATATTTCGGCGCACCCATTTCACGCCTCGCGGCCCCATGGGGAGCTCCACCGAAGGCCCCAGAGGCAGGGTTCGCGCGCGGGTCCACACCAATTTCGGCACACCCCTCACACGCTTCGTGGCCCTGTAGGGAGCTCCACCGAAGGCCCCACTGGCAGGGTTCGCATGCGGCTCCACCCTCCATGTCGCCACACCCTTCACACGCTTCGTGGCCCCATAGGGAGCTCCGCAGAAAGCCCCAGTGACAAGGTTCGCATGCGGTTCCACCCTCCATTCCGGCACACCCCTTCATACGCTCCGTGGCACACAGGGAGCTCTTCCGAAAGCATCGCAGCGGCAGGGATCGCGCATGCGGTTCCACCCCCAATGTCAGCACACCCCTCACACGCTTCGCGGGCCCATAGAGAACTCCACCTCGCTCCCCAATGGCAGGGTTCGCGTGTTGTCCCACACCCAATTTCGACACACCCCTCACACGTTTCGAAGACCCACAGGGAGCTCCGCCGAAGGCCCCAGTAGCAGGGTTCGCACGCGGTTCCACCATCCATTTCGGCACACCCCTCGCACGCTTCGTGACCCCATAGGGAGCTCCACCAAAGGCCCCAATGGCAGGGTTCGCATGCGGTTCCACCCCCGTCTCGGCACACCCCTCACACGTCTCGTGGCCCCATATGGAGCTCCACCGAAGGCCGCAGCGACAGGGCTCGCACGCGGTTCCATCCTCCATTCGGGCTCACCCCTCACACGCTTCGTGACCCCAGGAGTTCCGCCGAAGGCCCCTGTGGCAGGGCGCGCACGCGGTTCCACCATGTCGTCACACCCCTCACACGCTTCGTGGTCCCCTCGGGAGCTCCACCGAAGGCCCCAATTGCATGGCTCGCATGCGGTTCCACTCCTGATTTCAATACAAGCGGCAGGCATAGCACAAGGATGCCCATTAGCCACATATGCTCATCATCGCGATGTCTGTGCTCTTAGAGCCGGTCGACAAAACACTGGGACACTCTGCTTGCAATAACGGCCGCTGTTTGGCAAAACTTCCACGGGGGAGTCAAGTTACACCAGTCAAACACACAAGACGCGCTTTAGCGCTGCGCTCGGCCGATCATCTTGCCAGCCTCTGTATTGGCTGAGCCAGGGGCCAAGATATGGGTGGATCCTTGCTGACGGGCCTGTCTTTGGCGGGCCCTGTCTCGATCCCCCCCCCATGTCTGTGCGAGCGAGGAGTCGATGGGGATCCAACGATGCCAACATGCAGTCTCGGCACCGCGGACGCCTCTCGTCGGTCACGTGTCGCATCGACAAAGTTCATGCTGCACGCTGGGCACACGCCGCCATCGTCTTTAAAGAAGCGCACTCGCACGCGCTGCTTATGAGCTATCCGGCTGTGCTGAAGGAGGGCTTCGTGGGAGGCGAATGCCTTTCCACATTGAGCGCGTGGAAATTTGCGGGGACGGTTGCCGCTGCCTGCTGGGATGGCACGCGCGCCCAAAACATAATCAGAAAAGTGCACCTGTCGGACCCATTCGGCCCAGTCAGGGCTGGTCATCATCTCCATCCACGTCTGGGGGGCCACCCCGACTGAAAGCATGTCGCGTGCTCCAGGACTGTGTTTACACAGCTCCTCGATGTCTCTGGCCACTTGTGCTGCATGCGGAAGGCGCTCTCCCTGCGGCCAGGCTTGGAAAAGAGCCCGCAGAGGCTGGGGCGTGCGCGCCGCACACCGTCCGTAGTATTTGAGCCTTCTGATGAGGGTCAGACAGTCGATAGAGCACTTGCCCAATTTGACACGAACCTGCTGGCCCGACCAGTCCGGGGCCCCTTCGTGGGCAGTATCGCCCAAGATCCGGCTCAAGACCTTCATGTATGGGGCGTTGAGCTTCCAGAGCGCGGGAACTGCCATGGTCCACATGCACACGTTGCATAACAGCCGTGAGATACTCAAGCTTCCCATCAAATGGGATGTTCAATTTGGTTATATGGCTATGGAGCCAAAAATATTTCGTGCTATGGGGACGTAAGCCGAGAAAACTGACGAGGCCCGGTGCATGGCTTCCGGCACAAGGCTCCCGTTGGAGGCGACGACGCCGCCGAGGTGCTGGCACTGCGCAACGACGTGCATGAATATCTCGCCATCCGCCAGATGGATTCTGAGACCTTGGTCGGACCCGAGCTTGTCGAGCACTCTGGTGGACCCCTTCCCGCGACAGTGGACGATTGCTTCGCTTTTCCCCTTCCGCCAGTTAATCTTTAGGCCGATGGCGCGGAAGATCTCGTCGTAGACGTTTAGGACGGCGGCGGCGCCGGCGAGCAGCTCCGACGGCGACCCGGCGGCTATAGCCACGGCTTCGTCGTCGACGAAGGTGACCTCGATGATCGTGTCCTCGTCAGCGGCCTCGTCTGCAGATGCCCAGAACGGCCTGCCATCATCAGATTTGAAGGTCAAGAAGATGCCGGCAGCTCGGAGACGAGCCCTTATCTTGCTTAAGGCCTCTTCGTAGACCATGCAGAATATGTAGCCGCCCAACTTGCAGCCTTGTCGGCCGCCCTTGGCGGTGACCACCACCTCGTCCGCGCCCTCGATTGCAAACCAGGCGTCCTTGTGCAGGGTCCTGATGAGCGCGGTGACGGCGGGATCCACTTTCCATCGATCGAATGCGGCTCCCAATGAGGCAATATGCGCAACTATGTGCAAGGCAATGCGCATGTTCAGCCCCGAACCTAAGAACTAACCCACTCTCGAAGCGTCGACTGCATAGGAAGGGCCATCAGCCGCCTCCCATCCGAAGACCATCTGCCGGACAACACTGTCAAAGGCTTGCGTCAAGTCGAAAAAACAATGGTTCACAAAAATCTCCGCCGATCCGGCGCGTGAGTTTCTGAGAGCGTGGGCTTGAGCTCGCTCAAGCAAGCTTCGCTCTGCAGGGGGGGGGGGGGGGCGACGCCATTTCCGACGCCATGTCCGACGCATTTTCAATGCTCGCCGACGCCGGCCCCAGCCCCAGACCCAGCCCAAGACCCGGCTCTGGCCCCAGCCCCAGTCCCGGCCGCCCCAATTCCAGCCCCGGCCCCGGCCCCGGCCCCAGCCCCGGACCCGCGGCTCTGGCCGAGCCCCCGTCCCGGCCCGGGCTCCGACCCGGTCCCAGCTCCCCTGGACCCTGCAGGCCGGCTCCAGCCCCGGGTCCCGGCCCTGGCCCTGTTCCCAGCCTCGGTCCCAGCACTGGCCCGCTTCTGCCCCAGCCCTGGCCCCGGCCCCGGCTCCGGCCGGACCCCGGTCCTGCCTGCCGGGCTCCGACCTGGTCCCGGTCCCAGTCCCCGCCCCTGGCCGGCCCTGGCTCCCGACGTCCTGGCCCTGGCCCCAGTCCCGGCCCTGGCCGGCTCCCGGTCCCAGCACCGGCCCCGGCCACTGCCCCGGCCCCGGCCCTAGCCGCGGCCCCAGCCCTGCGCTCCCGGCCCCGCGCTCCCGGCCCCGGCCCTGGCCCCGGCCCTGGCCCCGGCCCTGGCCCCGGCTCCCTGCCCCGGTTCCCTGCCCCGGTTCCGGTCCTGGTTTCAGCTCTGGCCCCAGCCCTGGCCCCGGTCCCGGCTCCGGCCGGACCCCGGTCCTGGCCTGAGCTCCGACCCGGTGTCCCGGCTCCCCTGGCCGGCCCCAGCTCCCGGTCCCGGCCCTGGCCCCCGGTCCCGATCCTGGCCAGGCTGGCTCCGACCCCGCTCATAGGCCAGGCTCAGGCCCTGCCCCGGCTCCCGCC